GCGGGGGGAAACCGCAGCAAGAAGTACGATGATAAAACAGCAAATATGTGAAGTAATAAAAGACAAGGAAAATATAAAGGGTGAATCATCAATCCCGGTAAGAATAATTGATGATGAGAAAGCTGAAATTCTGATAAGGCCAAGGCAGGAGAGAGGGAACGAGAAAGAAAAGCTGAGAAAAGTCTATGTATGTGATTATTTGGCCATGGGCGGATCCAGGGTGGTGTCCTGGGTGGGAGAAGCGATTTTCCCCCTCCCCCTTTCGTCACTATTTCGGAAGCCCCACTCTTCTCCCCCCTCCCCTTCATCGCTCCTCGTAACAGCGACTGCGGGGAGGGGGAGGGGCGGGAGCGAAAGAGAAAATGGAGCTCCTGGGGAGGAAAATGGATGCCGAAGAAAGTTTCCATCACTTTTAGCACTGCTACCTGTGCCACTGGGAGAACGGGGGTGAGGTAGCGGGGGACAAAAATGTAGCGTTACGCAGATACGGCAAATTCAAAAAAGAAAGGAGAAATGAGAAGCTGCTACTAGTTACAGCACTGATCGTGCGAAAAGTGTAACAGTACATGCCCGGAATATTTAAAGTACGCCTAATTACTACTTATAACAAAGGAATATCTGACCAGTAACATCAACGGTTGCAGACTGTCGAGCTTCACCAAGTGTATTTACAGCCACAATTGTATATTCGCCCTTATCGAACACTGTCACCGGATTGATCTCCAACGCTGCATAGCCAGCATCAGCTACCGTAGACAGCCGGGAACTCGCCAAGACAGCCTAAAATTGTGAAAAAAAAATTAGTCGCAGAGAAGCAAAAGTTGAAAATGCTTAAAATCACAAGAAAATTTTGCCCGAACTGACGGGGAAATGAAAAAAAACGTACTGTTTGAAAGCTTATGATAACTAATCACTGGATGAAAATTAATTCATGAAGTGAATAGGGTTCACTCAGAAATTTGAAAATATTGGGTACCTTTCCATTCAAAAGCCAAGCTATTTTCAAATTTGGATCATCTGCTGGTGAATATTTGCAGTCCAGAAGGGCAGTCTGTCCCTCAATCAAGTTCAAGTTTTTCACTGTATCCAAAAATTTCGGTGGTTGCTTGGAGGCTGCTCGAACTTCACCCCCATCTTCCTCGATTTTGGCTCCATATCTGAAACAAATAACACAGCCGTACTAAGTAACAAAGGGTGCTTAAAAATGCTTAAAAATTCTTGGATATTTCGTAATTTTATCAAAATTCCCGTAAATTACCTAGCAACGCGACGATCAATCTTCCGCAGCGGAATTTGATCACGTTCCGCTGAATCCAGTTTTTGACGAGACTGGACAACAACGCGCCCCTGGAAGTAGACATTTGCTATGCTGGGATACTACTGAACTTAACCACGTAGCGAAACAACAGTCTGCAAGTGGCTTGCCACAGTTCTATTTGGCTTATGAACAATTTTTTCAGGCAATGGACAACAAAAAAGGGCAACAAACACTTTAGGTGGCTTGTCGGGAACTAATAATCTTCTAAAAACATGCACATTTTATCAGCTTATTCCAGATAAGGAAAGGAGAATCAAATTTACGGAGATAAAACAATCAAAAAGACCCGTTCCTACTGCTGAATTTTTCTCATGGATGATGTGATTTTCAAACTTATTTACCCTAGCAAAGTTTAAGCAATAAGAATCGAACATGTGATTTAATTTTTCTGCTCTCTCTTTACCAAATTTTTTTAGCACTATTAAAAACTGCAATTAGATTCAGCTCCCTTCCACTTCTCTCATCACAAAAAGCTTTTTGGTACTCAAAAAACTTACAAAAAAAAGTGAATGAATGAAAAGCTAAAATACCAAGAAATGAAAAAATTCAGAAATCCATGAGCAAAATTCACTTTCATGGAAGAAGTTCCAGACTGATTAGTAGCATCACACTGATACCAGCCACCATCACTCATTTTGGCATTCAGAATCTGTAAAGTCGTTTCACCACTTCCTTTTTCTTCGACTCTGAAATTTTTCGAGAGAAAATGAATATCCTGCAAAAAAATATGAAACATTTCAAAAAAGTGAGGGTAGATGTACGAGCGAGTACCTAAAAAAGATATGAACTGCAATCAATATCATGGATTCACGAGTATGCCAATCATTTGTTAAGGATGAGGAATCGACGACTGCTGAGTGAATTTTGGGAAGATTACCAGCATCCTCAGGGATCTCTCTGTGAAATTATGTGGATGTGACGAGCTCAGAAGCGATGAGGCTCACCGGTATTCGAAGCGAGAATGAACACAGCGAGCATCATTACTATAATTCAGTCGAGGAAAACAAGCAAGTGATTACTTGTAGGAGCCGCCGGTCTTGATCGGTGTTCCATCTTTGGACCAATTCAACCGCAACTTATCGCCTGTTGCTTTGCAGTATAAAGTCAACGAATCGCCTTCGTAGATTGTCACTGATTGAAATTTTCCAACAAACTGTGGCGCACCACTGGATTTTTGCTCTAAAAAATGCAAAATGTGGGGCGAAAAAGAGGACGGGGCAAAAAAAGCGTAACTCAAGCAGCACCACTAAAATACGTGAATTCTAGAGGTTCCTCAACACTTGAACTTCCCGTCTTCAGTGGTTTATAAACGGTTAAATGCGCACTATCGTGAAGCTTCTGTGTCCCAAATCTTAGTACCAGGTTCAAGAGAAGAGAGACAAACCAAGGACATTGAGCGAACATCGT